AGTCTTCTACAGGTCGCCAGCCAGTTCATCCAGCACCATTTGTTAAATAGGGAATCTTTTCCCCAGTGAATGTTTTTGATTGGCTTATCAAAGATCAAATAACAGTAAGTAGCTGGGTTCATCTTTTGGTGGTCTTTTCTGTTTCATACATCTACCTCTCTATTTTTGTGCAGTACCATGCAGTTTTGATCACTATCAATTTATAGTATAATCTGAGATCTAGTAGTGTGATTCCTCCTGCTTTGTTTTTATTTCTGAAAATGTCTTGGCTATTTGAGGTTTATTCTGATTCCATATAAATTGAAGTATTATTTTTTGAGATCTTTAAAGTATGACAGTGGAGCTTCAATTGGGATTGCATTAAAATTATATATTGCTTTGGGTAGCATGGATATTTTAACAATGTTGATTCCTTCCAGCCATAAGCATGGGATGTTTTTCCATTTATTGACATCTTCAGCTATTTCTTTTCTTAGAGTTTCATAGTTCTTTATAGAAATATTTCACATCCTTTGTTAGGTAAACTCTCAAATATTTCATCTTCTTTAGGACTACTGTGAAAGGAATAGAGTCCTTGACTGTCTTTTTGTTGTTGTTGTTTGGTTGGTTGGTTGGTTGGTTTTTTTGCATTTTTTGGCCAGGGCTGGGTTTAAACCTGCCACCTCTGGCATATGGGGCCAGTGCCCTACTCCTTTGAGCCATAGGCGCCTCCCGCTTGCCCGTTTTTTTCAGCTTGACTATTGTTGGTAAATATAAAGGCTACAGATGTATACGTGTTGATTTTGTAACCCGAGACACTGCTATATTTCTTGATGGCTTCTAAGAGTTGTTTTTTTTTTTTAGAGACAGTTTCACTTTATCGCCCTTGGTAGAGTGCTGTGGCGTCACACAGCTCACAGCAACTTCTAACTTCTGAGCTTAAGCAATTCTCGCCTTAGCCTCCCAAGTAGCTGGGAGTGCCTGCCACAACACCTGGCTATTTTTTTGTTGCAGTTCAGCGGGGCTGGGTTTGAACCTGCCACTCTCAGTATATGGGGCTGGCACCCTACGCACTGAGTGACAGGCAATGCACACTTCTAAGAGTTTTGTAGTAGAATCCCTGGTGTTTTCCAGACATACAATCATATCATCTGCAAAGAGTGAACATTTGATCTCCTCTGACACTATGTGGATACCCTTGATCACCTTTTCTTGCCTAATTGTGATGACTAAGTCTTCCATTACAATGTTAAAAAGCAAGGGAGACAATGGGCAACCTTGCCTGGTTCCTGATCTGAGTGGAAATGATTTCAATTTAACTCCATTCAATATGATATTGGCTGTGGGTTTAGTGGGTTTAGTGGCTGTAGATGGCCTCTATCAGTTTAAGAAATGTCCCTTCTATGCCAATTTTCTTAAGTGTTCTGATCATGTAAGGATGTGGGATATTATCAAAAGCTTTTTCTGCATCAAATGAGAGAATCATATGGTCTTTGTTTTTTAGTTTGTTTATGTGATGAATTTTATATTTATAGATTTACATATATTGGACCAGCCTTGAGACCCTGGGATAAAACTCACTTGATCATGGTGTATAATTTGTTTGATGTGTTGCCATTTGTTTGCTAGAATCTTGTTGAATATTTTCACATAAATATTCATTAGTGATATTGGTCTATAGTTTTCTTTTCTTATTGGGTCTTTTCCTGGTTTGGGGATCAAGGTGAAGTTTGCTTCATAGATTGTATTGACTAGTATTCCTTCTTTTACTGTATTTAGAAAAAGGTAAAGTAATATAGGTACTAGTTCCTCCTTAAA